TGTAGAGAAGGCGAAGTCGGGGATGCAGGGCGCGCCGCTAACGGCGAAGACACCGGTGGCGCAAGAGCAGTCGACGAAAACGCCGATGCCGGCGTTGTGGATGGCGGCAGCAGACGCGCGGCTGTCCGAGTGGTCTTGTTTGTCGAGCGGGACCTGCTAGAGCGACGGGCAGGCGACGATGTCCGAGGGACGATGGTAGCCCGCGGTTGGCGTCAGAAATAAGCGAGACCGGTGACGGTGCCTCCGGAAACAGCGGTAGTTTTGGCCCGAGTCCGTGAAGAAATGAGCGGTCCCTGCTCCGGAAGCGAAGACAAAACGTGCACATATCTAGTCGCCAAAGACGCGACAGGAGACATCACGCGGGACGCATCCGAAGTCAATGAGGAAGCAGGCCCTGGAGATGCGAGAACAGGCGAGACGATGAAGACCCCCGGGGACCGCTGAGAATTTTCGCAGGCAATCTTTGAGTCCGTCAGAGCATCCACCCGACGCGGGTGATGTCGGCGAAAATCCCCAAAATCGGAGGGCTGCAACGCTGGGGGCGAAAAGACTCCTGCCGTGCAAGGAGGGCGGAGCCCACCCAAACCGACCTCCGGTGTAGACGACGAGTGATAGTTGCGCCCGCAAGCCCAAATGAGGAAAACACCCGCTTGATCGACACCATCAATGCAGTCGGGGCCGGTTTTGTCCGTGTCTTGTGCTGGTAAAGGCAACCGCGAAAGAAAATCCGCGTTGCCGTTTGCCGAACCTTTCCGATATTTCAGGGTGTAGGTGAAGTTGGACAGGAATTCGAGCCATCGTTGCACCCTAGCGTTGTGTTCCCCAACCTTGCCAATGCTCTCCAAGGCTTTGTGGTCCGAATAGATGATGAACTTGGTCGACCACAGATAACCGCGAAGGCGTTTGATGGCCCAAACAATGCCACCAGCCTCCAGATCCAAAACGGTCCAGTTGCGCTCCGCACGACGAGTAGCGCGGCTGATGTACACGATGGGTCTCACCGAGCTATCGAGCTGTTCTTGTTCCAAGGCGGCGCCAAAACCGTCGATACACGCGTCGCAACACAAACGAAGAGGACGGCTGTTGTCCTCGATTGCTGCCCAACCCGGGAAGACCAAAATCGGGGGGCGAGCGAGTTCGCTTTACAACGTTTTGACAACCTTGACCATGCCCGGGGTGTACTTGAAGGGGACGCCTTGTTTGAGAAGAGAGTTGAGAGGCCGCACCTTGGTGGCGAGATTCTTGAGGAATTTCCGGTAGTAACTGAGTCCACCGAGAAGGCTCCGAAGCTGCTTAACATTCGTCGGCGGCGGCATGTGCGTGAGCGCCCTAACCTTGACGCCATCAGGGCTAACACCGGCCAGAGAGATGGTGTGACCGAGAAAGTTGGCGTGCGTGGCGCCGACGCGACCCTTCCCTGGAGACAGTTTGAGGTTGTACTGTCGCAGTCGTTTGAAGAACTCGATCAAGTTTAGCACGTGTCCCAGAGGTTCCTCATCGAAACAGATGACATCGTCCAGATAAGCAAGCACACGCTCCAGACCGTGCACCACTCTGTTGATGACCTTGACGAACCAAGACGGACTTGCGTTGGCGCCCTGCGGCATCCGAAGCCATTCGAACAACTGCGTGGGAGTGCAAAAGGCGGTGAGCGGGACAGCGTCTTCATCACAAACGATCTGGTGGAAAGCCGAGTTGAGGTCGAAGATGGAGAACACTTTCCCGGTGTACAGAGAATCCAAGATACCGTCCACTCGAGGGAGAGGTTGTCCATCCAAATCCACCAGAGCGTTGAGACGTTTGTAGTTGACGGTGATGCGAACAGATCCGTCCTCCTTGGGGATGACAACTAAAGGAGAAGCCCAAGGAAATGTGGAATGTTGAATGAGCCCTGCCGCCAAATACTGGTCCAAAACGGCATCCACTTTCTTTTGCATCAACGGGTTGATACGATACGGGCGTGATGCAACGGGCTTCGTCCCTGCTGGGACAGAAAGCGTGAACGGCATGATGGTGCAGGAACCAAAATCGGTTTTCGAAGTAGAGAACACGTCAGAATACTCCACAAGGGCGTCGGCCAAACGATCAATAGCCTCCGGTGTCCATGCTGGATTGTGTAGATCGAAAGCGATGTCGTGCATGTGTGCGGGCAGCCTAGCCCAGAAGCGCATGAAGCTGGGGCGATGTGCCTCAGAGAAGCGGTCGAGTAGTTCTTGTGGAGGCGGCTTCGGAGGAGGCGGGGCGGAGGCTGGGTCCGGAGAGCGGTGAGTCCCGGGCTTGGGGCCAACGGCGTTGACCCGAGGTGGTGATGTAGATGTTTTGGGGCCAGTAGGAATCGAAGATGGTGCCGCCTGCAGGGTTTCCACCGGTACCCGTAGTAGCAGCGCGGCAGACACTCCAATAACGTCTCCCGGCTCGAGCTGGGCATAACCTGCAAGGGGAATACGCTGGAGACCATTGGAAACGAACGCATCTGGGGACGAAAGCACACCCACTTCGGGTTTGAACGATACCAGATACTCTCCAATCAGCGCAGGCATGCCAGAAGAACGAACGACGTCCACCTCAACGAGTGTAGGCTCCGGCCCTAAAGAAATTCCCGAGCTCCCTGCATATTTAAGGTGATACGAGGAGGTAGGAGCGTCGCCGTATGTAGCGCAAACGCAAGCGCCAGCTGTAAATCGCGGAGAGGGCGTGAGCTCGCCCATACCCCGGCCATCCGGTCCAGGGTGGGGGAGGGTGGTGAACACGCTAGAGTTGAAGCGCATCCAGCTACCACGACCCAGAAGCACGGCGTGCCCCATGGCGGCGTCTGGAACAACACAGGCCCAGACCGCCAAGGAAGCGGTAGCTCTATCTCCATGGAGAAAATTAACGGTGAGACGAATCGACCGGGTGGTCACAAGGGCGGGTCCATCACCAAACCCACCCCAACGACGAGAGGGCGAAACACGAACGCTGCCAGCTGTCAGGGCTCCGGCAGCTATCATGGCGGTGACCACGGAGTCGGAAACGAAGGATGCAGGAGACCCAGAGTCCAGAAGCGCCACTCGCGCGAGTTGAGAAGTGGCTGTAGGTCCTCCATGCAGCAGGACCCGGGTGGTGTATGAGTCCGAGTCCAACAGGAGCGTGCCGCCGACCAGATCGGGTCCATGTTCGAGAAGAGGAGGCTGGTCTGCACAAGCGGAGGTCGATGCCACCAGATGAACGCCAGGAGCATGGTCCCCCGGAGCGTCCAAACGTAGACAAGTCGGGTCTTCGCCCGGGTCCTTCCGTAGCGAAGAACCTGTAGCAGTAGCAACTTCATGAATGCGTCAATGTCCAGGGAGACGAGGCTGCAAAATGGGGGGCGTGGGAGAATTGGAAGAGGGGAAATCTTCGACAGACAGGGGATGATCACGCAGAAGGCGGCGAACTTCCATCAAAGCTTTTCCCAACAAGTTATTACCGCTAGCCGCCCACTTGGATGAAACGCTAGCATCTGGAAAGCATGCAGACATGCCGATACCCCAAACACGATCGAAGGGGCTGGCTTCTGCAAGGAGGCGGGTACCCGTCTCCAGTAGATGATGTTTCATGTCATGGTGTTGAGCAAATTTGGCGTACGACCTCGAAAGCATGATCTCTTCACGACGACGCTCCCATTCAGCTTAGTCGAAAGGACGCACATTTCGACCCAAAACTTGTGTGTCTTGGGATCCGTTGCAGCCATAATTTTGTCATACGACGTCATATCTCCAAACAACTTCGCTTGTTCAGACATCATGAATTGCTCATCACATGAATATCGTACCCCCAGTACGTCAAAAGCCGAAGGATTCCATGGCGAGAGCACAGACGGAGGTTTCCAGAAAAGAAGGACGTCATCCGAAGCGTACTCGCACTTGTCATCAAACGGCGGAGCCGGTGCAGGGCGAAGGGGCAAAGAGCGGGCACTAGGCACAGGCGGGGGTGGACCAGGCGGTCGGGTCCCCTTCTCCGACGAGGAGGACCCAGAAAGCGAGGCAGGAGCGGGCGAAGTCNTGTTCAGACATCATGAATTGCTCATCACATGAATATCGTACCCCCAGTACGTCAAAAGCCGAAGGATTCCATGGCGAGAGCACAGACGGAGGTTTCCAGAAAAGAAGGACGTCATCCGAAGCGTACTCGCACTTGTCATCAAACGGCGGAGCCGGTGCAGGGCGAAGGGGCAAAGAGCGGGCACTAGGCACAGGCGGGGGTGGACCAGGCGGTCGGGTCCCCTTCTCCGACGAGGAGGACCCAGAAAGCGAGGCAGGAGCGGGCGAAGTCGCAACGCTCCCTGATCCGGAGGGCGGCCTTAGCGCGGCGGCTCCGACGGGGTCAATGTTAGCAGAGGCCATTCGGCTATTGGAGACCCGTTTGATAGGAGAAGTCGTTCCTGCAACAGACGGATGTTTGATCATTGACGCAGGGCGCTCTTGACTACTCCCCCTTGACAAAGGAGCCGAACCTTCCACAGAATGGTGGGCACTACCATCCGATCCCGATGGCAGTGGTGCAGTCAGCACGTGGTGGGCAGCAGAGGAAGACGCATTCGTATCAGGTGCTGTCACACGGGGGCAGCGGACGGTCGAATACAACGAAAGCTGCGAAAGAGAAGGAGGATCGACGGGGTCCCGACGAGTGTAGAAGAAGGCTCGTGTGCGATCCGAGAAGAGGCCCGGCTGACAACACCCGGAGAGTCTTCACGGATAGTAGAAGACGAGGTTCTTGTTCCCTCTGTAACCCGAGACGACGAGGTGAGCAGGGATGGACCGCTCGACTTACCTCCCTGTCACCCACACCACAAAGTTTTGCCGAAATGGGTCTGTCATGTCCATTACCAGCAGCCGATGAGGCGGATGACGAGGAGGCGGGCCGAAAAACGAGATGTGATTTAGGAGCGTGGGGAGTATCCAAAGAAATAGGCTGTACACGAACATCTTGGGAGACTCCAAAAGGGTGCACGGTGATTGCTGTTGACGGTAGTACCGGCTGAACTCCGCCATCGGCTTGTCATTTCTTACCCCTCCAGCCCCTTTTTGTCGAAGTGGAAGCGTCCGACGAGAGCTCTGTGTGTGAGGACTGTTTCGTGTCCGATGTGTCAGATGAGCGGCGGGCGCGTCCTAAGGGGTGATTTCGGTGTGGGTTGCGTCCTGTAGGGCGTCTATACGAGGTCATGCGCTTTTTCCACCGACCCCAAAGGGTGGGATCTTTTTCCATACAGAACTTGATGTCATTGTTAAGCAAGCCGGTGGCGTTCACAAAACCACGATTACAGGATTTGAAGGAGTGTTCTTCTCCTAAGCAGTTGAGGCACTTGCCCTTTTACAGTCGAAGCGCGTTGCGGCGCTCTTCAGCCGAGACCAAGGGGGTGAACAATGGCGGATCATTCTTGGTTAGAGCCATCTCGCTAGCGACGTTGTACACCTCTTGGAAGTGTCCTTGCAACGGCCAGTCGCTGTAGTGCAACAGAAAAGGGTCCCGACCATCATTAGGTAGAGGGTCAACACTCATCACGGCGGCCGAAGAACCTTGGCTCCACGAAGGGGTCACCGTCGAACGCAACGCCGAAGAAGCTACAGCACGCGAAACAGCAGACGAACTCCTAGCATTCGTGGAAGATACCGAAAAGAAATCATCTCCATGCACCGCCGGCGTGTGCGCGAACGCACGCTTGTCCAACACATCCCACATATCATCCAGACACGAAGCATGTCGCCCAAAAGGGGCTTCCATGGAGAGCTGCTCATCCTTGTACACCTGCCCAGACACTTCCGGAAACTGCTTCAACATGGAGTCTCGAACAGCTATCTGCACTTGCGCATCCGAAGGCTTGAACGCGTGGTGGGAAACCATGACGGTCATGGCCAGAGCCTTACAACGACGAATGTATTCTCCTTAAGTCTCGCCGTTGGATACGCCAAAACTGCGAAGACGATCAATCCCCGAGCTCTTGTCTTGAGTGTCCCAGGCGGCCGCCAATTTCTGGATGAAGAAGGCGTACGTCGAGGGCCCTGCCGGTTCCTTGCGCAGATGGTTTTCTACCTGTAGGAAGGTGGCATCAAGAAATTCCAGAGTGGCACGGTTGGTGGTTTGGCCTTCAACGACAGCAGCACGGACACGTTTGCGCAACAACGGAAGCCATCCGGTGACCCAGGTGGAGGAATTGAAAGTCTGCTTGCGCTTGACGTCGCTTTTGTTGAGGATCTCTGTGACCACACCCTTGCAGCTAGACGCGAAGCGAGCAAATTCATCAGGATCAGGACCGAGGGGCAAGCGTGTGACACTATCAAGTTGTTCCGGCTTCAGCTTGTCCATCTTGTCTTGAATGCGGATGGTGTCGGCCTCCGCTGCAGCGGCCTCCGCAGCGTGCAGAGCCTCCTGTCTCGCTCCCGCTCCCGTGGAAGACAAAGGCAAACCAGCATCGTCCTGTGGCACCGGTGATGCCGCTTGACTCGGTGGCTCGACGATGTGGCCGGTTGCAGAGTCAGGATCGATCAGAACAGACGCACGCTGGAGGGGGGGGGGGCGATACCACCAAAGGTTGTTGCAACAGGGCTGGGGCTGTCGACGCTGACGGTGCCACCGCACGCTCGACCGGTACTGTCGCCGACCTCATGGCTGATGATGATGATCCTGGCGTGGTCCTGGCAGCGGTGTCGGCACGAACATCGCGTGCCACAGGAGCTCCCGAAAAGCTCGAAGCGTGGTCTTGTATCGGTGTCGGACGCGTTGGTGGGGGAGAAGATGGGGCAGGTGGTGGCACGCTAGGAGCGTGGGGGGGCACAGGAGGTTGTACATTCGCGTCGGCAGCAGCATCCACTACTTGATTTGCTCGCAGGAGAGTGAGTACTTGTTCCAACAGCATTTCAGTACGGGAGGCCGAAGTCGAGGCGTGTGATGCAGCATGGCGTGGTGACTCAACAGGTTCGTCCAAAGGCAAGGAAGATGTGGGATGATCCATAACGGCATGGGTAGGGGCATGGCTTTTCACAGCGGCTGAACGTTCACGAAGTTGCATGTTGGCCAGTTTGAAAGCCAGAGAAGACCTGGTCGGTTGGCCTACATCAGCGGGAGGGCGTAGAACAAGCGGTGCAGAACAGAGAGAACCGTCTTCTGAAGCATCCTTGTTTTCCCCCAACAACCCAGAGCTACGAAAATCACCTCGATTATACATCACTTGCCTGTTACCGTGGCCTAACCTCCGTCGCCCTTTTCCGCCGCGACCGCTGTCAGTGCTGATCGCCCTGCTATTGCCCCCGCTCTGGTTCTGGCTCCGGCTGCGGCTACGCCTAGACGGAGGCGTGTTTCTCCCACGACGGTCTCCGCTCCGGCTGCGCCCATGCCTAGGCGAAGGATTGGTGCGCTGTTGACGTTCTGCGCTCCGACTCCTGCTCCGGCGATGGCGGCTCGCCGGCGAAGACCCGGTAGGCTGGTTCCCCACGGCTCGCCCTCGCCTGTCATCTCCGACGCCGCGCCCTCGCGAAGACTGGGTGGGGCGGTGGTGGTCGTCCGTCCCGTTCTTGGGCGTCGA